CGTTTATCCAGGGCTTTTGATTTGGGAATGTTCGTACAGAAACCTTCGGTACCACGTCATCGATGCATTTCCCAATGTAGCAGATGACCGTGTCCGTGTGTGTGTTGATGTTATTGTCCTCAAACACACTCCAATCCGTAGATGCAAAGCAATCCTGCAGAGCTGAATCTGACTCCTCACTCCATCGCTGTACTGTCCTTGTTACCGGTCTGTCCCGTTTAAGTTTCTGCTTGTAAGCAGGCAGCAGCAGTGAGATGTGGTCTGATTTGCCGAAGGGAGGGCGAGGGAAAGCCTTATATCCATGTCGAAAAGGGGAATAAACATGGTCCAGTATGTTTCCCCCGCGCGTCGGGCAGCTGATGTGTTGGTAGTACTTGGGCAGGACCTTCTTCATGTTAGCGGTGTTAAAATCCCCGGCCACAATGAACGCCACCTCTGGCCGTGAAGTCTCGGTCTTGTCGATAATCCCAAACAGCTGATCGAGTGCCGTGTTGTTGTCAGCGTGTGGCGGAATATACACTGCTGCGATCACAACAGATGTGAATTCTCTAGGCAGGTGAAAAGCCCGGCATATGATCACGAGCTGCTCTAAATGAGTGGAACAGTCCGAAGAAATAATCCTCACATCTGTGCACCAGTTGTTGTTAGTCATTACACACACAAATAGTGAATCCGTCAGGAAAAATGGCGGAGTCCGGGATAGCGGGATTGAGCCAAGTCTCAGTGAGAATTAACACGTTACAGTTCTTAATGTCCCGTTGAAAAGCAATCCGACTTCTGAGTTCATCTAGCTTTTGAACATTAGCCAGAAGAATACTCGGAAGAGGGGGTCGGTTTTCTCGTTTCCTCAGTCTGACTAGCAGCCCGGCACGGGACCCCCGCTTTGCCTTCCTCCAGCGTCTCTCAGGTAGGACGGCAGGAGGCAGCCATGGCGAATCTCCATTGTCTGTCGGGGGTTATTGTCCACAAAATTTCTGATGTGAAGAAGTTCCTCTCTGCTATATTGTATAGCAGAGTTGGTGCGGTCGGCTTGCATGTTGCGAACCATGTTAAAAGCAAACGGCAAAAAGTAACTAAACACAAACTAAATACGAAAAAGGGCAAAGTTGGAGAGGAGCCTAAAGACAATCTTTCACCATACAAAAAAAACGTGGACCAGACTATAAGTACAACAAAACAACTACATCTAAGAAAAACAAAACCAGTAGACTACAGACTGGAGGACACAAGGTCAAAGAGCAGGAACACAAGTAGGAAAATAGAGGACAATCCGACCAAAAACACTTGGGAAGACAGGCAAATATTTACAAGAGTAATCGAAAAGACAGGACACAGCTGGAGAGGTCAGGTGAAATGCATTGGCTGCAGGTGAACACAATAATACAATCACACATTTCAAAATAAGACAGGAAACACTAAACACAAACGACATACGACATATTTAACACTCAACACTCAACTGGGAACTTTTTCAGTATTACACCAAGACACAATCCCTTCCTTTTTGTGCACCCATTTTTCAAATATTATCAGCTGATTAAATTGATTTTATCAGTGGTTATCGCTATACTATTCTAATGAATCAAAACAAGACTTTTCAGATTTCAAAACATACAGTCCACTTTTAAAGGTCATGTCCCAAAGACTAAAAGTCCATAAATATGAGCAAACAAAGGCAAATGGGAAAAAACCTTCATGTTAGCCTTCATACTGTACTATCGTCTGATGGTTCAGATAGCTCAGATGAATAAATAAACTAAAACGTTTGTCTAAATGCCAGATTCAAGCCGTTTCATGTAAATAAAATCCACTATTTACTCAAAAGGAATCACTAGGATCTTGCCTGGAAGGTCTCTTAATGTATTTTTGATTGGATAACTCTCCTCTCCATGTAATCCATACGAATAACAAACGTAGCCTACATTTCCATTTATATGGTATTACTACAAGGTGATCAAATTGATCAGTGGTAATCTTCTTGGAATGATTTCAGAACAACAGGACGCTTTCCTGTTATTCCCATTCTGCCAAAATGCTGTGAATATAGCATTAAACTGCAGCGAGATCACAATGTGTCTCTTACTGCATACATTGTGACACATAATCAACCAAGGGCCGACAAAATATTAATGTATTTATTGTTGTTTGATGGGTACGTTCTATCTACTTGGGCCAGCTCTGTTTTAACTTGCGAAGGTGCGGTGAGATTCTCATGCATGTGTTAGCATAATGAAGCTGTTTAAGAACAAAAGACCACCGCCTGTCACATGGATCACTGATCCTAACAGGATAACTGAGACCCTGTAGAGGAGATTTATTCAAAAATATAAGAAAAAGGCTTTTAAGAGGACAAAAGAATCGAACCATTAATACCTGATGAAAAGCACCAGTCCATTCATCCTCTGTATCACCCTGTCAGAGCCTCTGCAACCTAATGAAGGACATTACCGCCGCCACCTGCAGAGATGCCGTCGCACCCTGGGATTCAAACAAGCTCACAGCATCCTTTTGTATCACGCTCTGTATATTCTTTGATGGAAGAGCCATTAGTGGTACACAATAATAGCCTAATACTGTGCCATTTTCAATCAATGCAGCAAAAAAAAGTAAAACAGCTCAGTGTTCCTGTAGCAATAACCAAGATAATTTCAAAAAATTATGGTTCAAAGTCACATTTATCCAGTGACATGTTTGCCTCATCACAGCTTTGGCAGGAGAACCTCTAGCAGGAGCCAAAAGCTGTGTTTTATTATGAATGAGTGGCGGTGTGTCCCCGCACGCCGCTGTTTTAATTGACACAGCAAAGCAGCTTTGATGTGTGAGGCATTGTGGTGGCAGAGAGAGACGGGCGCCTCATTACGGCTCCCTTTCCCCCCCACCTCCTCCCTCGTTCGAGATGGCTCATCTGCCATGTGTGGGGAACAGCGGGGGCGAAGCATGGGCAGAAGAGGGCTGAGGATGTTAACAAATCAAACGCCCCTTCATTTTTTCAGACAGGCGGAAACCCCTAGAAAACATTCCATCAGACGACAGAGCTTCCATACAGATTACATTACATGTAATTTGTTAGACAATTTTATCCAAAGTGACTTACATACATTCAGTAGGCTACTGTGGACAATCCCCAAAGGAACAATTTGGGGTGAGGCGTCTTGCCCAGGGACACAACGAAATGCTGACTGCAGTGGGACTCGAACTTGCTACCCCCTGATTCCAAGTCCAGCACACTACCCACTGAGCCACAGCCTCCGTCCGATGATTTTTAGTTGGGCGTCTGAATTAGTTGCAAGTGCTGTAGCATTAAGAGGTATCCAAGGTCGGACAGGTCACACACTAATTACAGTTTAAGTGGGATGCATGAAGAAAGAGGAAAATAAACGTCTACCTCACATCTACAGTCAGGATTAAATGGGAAGTGATTGTTTAATTAAAAGAGTTTGGCCAGGGCAGGACTATCCTTTGTACCCAATCGGCGATGCAAATCCATAGATTTAAAGAGATTTTCTGGAAATTAGTACAAACCCCTGACATGTTATTTATGGTTTGAAAGTGCTGACAATTGAAAGTTTGCAAAAGCCGGTTTCTTTTCAACTAATAGAAAACTGCCTTACCACAATTGAAAAATCCTGCCAACATGCTGCATTCAAACACTTTCGCACAATTCCGGGACTAATCAATATTTTCCAACTTTCCTAATTCGTTTTTACTGCAAACTAATTGCAAATTCTGTCAAAAATATCATCACTTTTCCCCTCATTATTTCCAGATCTACCATTTAATAGGAGTGGGTCTCTCATTTTGGTCTCAACCCTTATCTTTTTTACGAGCGAACATATCTCAGGCACTATTTTATGGTCATCTGGCATCCAGAATTTCATGTAATGATGTAACTTCTGCTACTTATACACCTTGGACTAGATGATACGATATTAAATAAAGTATATTCCCTGTTAGCCCGACAGCTAAAGTGATAAATGTGTGATAAATGTTGTCTGTCGCAGGTTGTCCTACAACATGGGATGATATCCGTTGCTGGAATCGTGCTGAGGTGGGACAGGTGGTCAGCGTCTCATGCGCCAATGTCTCCCAGCTGTTTGCTAATAACCAAGGTAAATAAAATAAAAATTAAATGTAGGATGTTATTATTGTACTTTATATATGTTGTGTACTTTTTAAGGGGATCTTTGTTATATTATCTTATATTATTGTATGCATATGCCTCCTAACTGTTTTCTGTTAGTTTGATGCTTTTGAGGAATTCTAATTGTCATACATTGAAATTGTTTTGTTTTTCAGAATTATTTTTATTATCCTAATATAATACTAATTAGCAATCCTGCCAACAGTCAAGCTGAAGATATTATTTTTCCTTGTACAAGTGCCATCAGCTCTATTTTTCAACAATATTATCTGTTTTAAGGCCATTTTACATGTTGGATTTGTCAAACTGGAGAAAAGAGTGGGATTTAGCTTTTTTAGGATAATGAACTTGTGCTCAGTTAATCAATTTTTCACTTACAGATCAGCAGGGTATATTTATATATCACTTGGGGCCGATGTTATGCTTTCACTGAGTGGTTTATGTAGACTGGATATTTTTTTTCTGGACTTGGCTGCAGACAGCGCTGCTCTCCCCACTGTTTTCACGACCCCCAACCTTTTCAGACCACAGTCTCATCCAGCTGGCTGGACTAAAAACAACAAAAACATATTTTCTCATGTATCATGAGATGGCCGACAGAGAGAAATAGATATAAAAAAACATGTTTCTGGACTATTGGGAGACAAATGAGGGCAGAAAAGTCTGCGAATTGTCGCAAACAGACCCTGTGGAAATGCAGAGGAGTGGAATAAGAGCCAGTAAAAAAGTATTCATTCATTCATCTACTCAAGCGCAAAATAAAAAATAGTGTGACTACCTAACTTAAGACTAGTAAGTTGTTTATAAGTCATCTTAAAACTTAACTTAAAAACAAATTAAAAACTGATTTTAATCCAATTATAGTACACTTACAGTAACCCAATTTACCATTTCAATGGTGCAACAACTAATATTAGGAATATTAAGAATATGAGGAAATGTAAGATTGAACGGAATACGTTTTCTATCAACAAAATTAGATAATGTTGCTCAATCACAGAAATGTTGACAGTGAATGAATAAGTATAACTTGTTGTCTAAAAAACCTATTTAATTAGTTTTACATCAAGATGTTCATTCATGTGCAGGATCTTCAGGCAACAGGACACGATTTTATGTTAGAGGCAGTTTTAATTTTCAATCCAATCAGTATTGACCAATCACATTTGAGTGGGCTTTAGTTGAATGCAGGTAAACCAAAAGGGAACTTTCTAGTTCAAATGAAATCAATGGAACCATCAGCTATCTGTCTGACAACAATTGAGCTTCAATTAGCACATTAGCTTGTAAACCAGCTATCTGATCGCCTTTCAAATCCAGCTCCAGTCTTAAATGTCAGGTTTCTAATCAGACATAAAAACCTATTGCCTGATGCATGGAAAAGTATATCTGCGGGTTACACCCCAGAAACACAGCCCATTGCCCCCCGTGTTTTATCTCCTTAAGACCAATAGCCCATGAGTTCTGAGATGGAAAGATCATGATCTGGTTCATTAACGTATTGTTGTTGCCTAAACCCGGAAATTAGGATGTGAGTCATGGTCTCCATCTTAAATTGTGTACTATCTATTACAGAAGCGATAGTCAAAATAATGTTATGGGGTATATGATTTAATACAATGAAAAATGTCTTAATTTTAAGAAAATGGAGTTTAATATTGATATTCAAGCCTCGATAAGCCACCATCCATTTGGCTCTAGAATATATACATCTTACATATATATATATATATATATATATATATATATATATACATAATTGTCTTTATTCCAGTCCTACCAGTAGTTCCAAGTCAGTGTTGGTGAAAAAAAGTTCATAGAATAGTCAGTAGTAGGCACAGAGCATGTGTAGTATGTGGGATGATGGATGAAGAAATTATGCTGATTCCAACAGCAGAGAGAGTAAAATACACACACAGCAGTGAAAGTTAGACGTATACTCAACATGGTTCAGAACACTTAAGGAGGCAGGGGTTGCCGTTGACGACCTCATAACTCAATGCTAGTGGGTTCTTGGACCCCACTGGATTCCCGCCTCCACAGACACCCTGATAAGTTAAATCACTGTAGCGGTGGAGTTCGATCCAGTCCATCCAACAGGAGGCTGCATGCAGAGAAAAAACTGAATCGTAAAATCAAAGAGTTCACTGTAAGAGCCAAGAGCATGAGGAAGGAATTGGCGCTGCTTGTTAAGCATGGCGGTCGGAGCACTAGCGCCCTCCCGGGAGCCCCAGCCTTTAACCTCCATTCACATCCAGCGTTGGCTGCGGGTCTGCAGGCTCTACACGCTGTGTTATACTGAGGCTAATGCAGCTGGATATCTGTAAACCCACCCACGACTCAAACCCCCACACTCTGCTCGCTCTGTGGTGCTAAAGGAGCCGGACAGGCATTTTCTCTGCAAGAAACTAAAATCTGTAATTTCACTGAGAACTTTTCATCCTCTGTCTTGTAAACACGGATTCACTCAGAAAACTGGATGACCTTGTGTGCGTCATGAAGGCCGTGGAGCTCGGTGAGATGAGTGAGCGCGTCATGCTAACTGCAGGCCATGGTGGGAGAACATGGCTGCAAATATGCCTCATTTAAATGTATCATTTACCGCCTTCACCTGATTAGACTACTTTCAGTGTTACCTAGAGCCCTTAGGAAAGTTAACAATACACTTTTGGTTTAATTATGTTAGAAGGCTAATCACAGAAAACATGTACAGATATATTTTCAATTTAGCATGCTACAAGTTTACCACTGCCGTTAGCATAATAGCTTTCCAAGTTCACCGCAGTTTAGCATGTTTAATCTTTCTGAATCCAATTGATACACTTGTAATGTTGCTATTTACTGTGGCTGACTGTACAATCTTACAATCTAGGTTCAAATACAGATAGGTTGTTTTTTGTCATTGCATATTTTTGTATTACTTTAAAGGACTCACACACAAGCAGCTAACCCCACACATCAGCAGCTTATTTTCTTTTTCAAATACAGTGACTTTGTATCACGTGAAGCTTTGATCAGTCAAGAAATCATAGACATACCATTTTTTGGGGGGCTTAAATCAGGATCACATTTGTCTTCTTCTCATTTATTCCTCTTTTTTGGTTGTGTAATTTGTGCAGTATGTCAAAATAGGAGATCACAAAATACAGAAGCTGTATTTGACTTACAGTAGGATTATATTAATAGTTTTCACAAATGCAATAATTAAGAAGAGCTTCATTTATCCAAGAAGATTGTGAAAGTAATTGACCTTTTTTTAAATTGTCCAACCATTTTCAACAATAAAAAGAGAGGAAAAACATAAAAGTAATGGTCATAGAACTTTTAACACACTAACACTTCATTTGTATTCCCTCCCAAGACCCAAGTATGTGAGAGTCAAAGTGATGACATGTGTTTGTCATCTGTCATCCCCATAGGAGGTGTGTGTCTAACCGCTCACATCATTAACAGGCAGATGGGGTTAACCCTAACCCTCATTGTGCAGCCCGCTGAATCCTAATGAATAGCAGTAGCGTTATTTCACGTCTGAGAAACTACTCTCGTGTTGTGATTGTAGTTCACATGTAAAGGGAAAACAGGAGAATCTACAGTATAAGGGTGAATAGAGAGATTTCTATTATTATTAGTCATCCCTGTGTCAGTAAATCTAATAGACTTCATCAGGAAAGCTCTATATTAATTAATGGCAACAAATGGAAAACAAATCAGCCATCCTACTTTATTTGCATGTTAAATGTGATGCTATTAAACAAACATTGTGTTTGTGTTGTCTCTTTTTGATTGAACATTTAAGGAATACTAAACCCCTCAATGACCATTTGTTTATCAATGACTAAAACTTCTGTTACCTTGAATTTGAGTCAAACAATCAGACTTCTCTGGTCAAATGCTTACCCAACACAGGCATTTTTGCTTAAAACTTACTATTTAACGGTTAAAATATCAGACGTTTTCGAGATTGTGTGCTTATACTGTAGTCTAAGCCTTCACTTACCTGGCTCAGAAATATTAACGAAAGTCTGCAATCCCCGGGTCTAGACTTTCTAATGAAGGAAACGCCTAAGTGGTTTCTCTGTGTCCTGTCACATTTCAGTTCTTCATTGTTTTGTCCCAATCATTTTGATGTTGAAAAAGGAAAGAGCCTTCAAATGTTGGCACGGACAGGATTGTCCACATACTTGAGGTGACTATAATTCAGATAGTGGCTCTCAGCAACATAAATGTTCCACAACAGATCCAGAAACGATGTAAAGTTATCAGAACAATCCATGAATTCCGAAGTGGACAGTTTTTGGGATAATTTCTTTAACCGAAAGTAGTTGCTTTTTTCAAATGTAATTCTTCCATCATCCAAACTAAAATAGATTTTCAATATCCTGTCCAGTGAAGCTGGAACCACCAAGAGTCGTTCATCTTTTTCTCTTTCTGTTTACATTGCCTTGCCAACTGTCTGGAGTCCACCCAGCATTCCCAAGTCGTACTTTCTCCTCAAATTGGAATACTTGTTTTAGTGCTGTCAGTCATTTATTTAGTTTCCCCCTACACTACTTTTTGGGTGACTGATTAGTGCCACTTCTCTCCCTTTTTACTGTTTTGTGTAATCCTCCTAGTTCAGTCAGACAACTCACGTGTTTCTTTAACATGTTTATTAGAAGCAGCATATCATTGAGTTTGGCGACTAGGCTCGGGCATCATCACTCCATAGATATACATAGCACGATGAGTGATGATTAAATAACTAACCCCCGAGCCTACAGGTGGAAGCTGGGGTGGTGGTGGGGCAGGCAAGCAGCAGCGACGTAAAGGTAGCTGCGGCAATAGCAGCAGCAAGCAATGCATGGAGAGAGAACTGGCAGGTTAAATAGAGCGACATATTAAAGAGACTCTGTTTGGTTGGTTGCAGAGTGGCAACGGGCGTTATGTACAGTATGAATGCAGCACAAGTGCTCGAGTTGACTGCCTGAACTAGCTCGCAGGCTTCGCCCCATTTGTGGTTTTGTGTTGACATCCTAGGTTCCTCTGCCTCCCCTGGAGTCTTTTTGTTGGTAGATACCCTTCTGTCCCTCCCACTGAGAAGTGTATGTGTATTTTTAGGTTACATCTACAGGAACTGCAGCGAGGATGGCTGGTCTGATCTCTACCCCTCCTATGAGGACGCCTGCGAGTTCACAGAGTACGAAGAGACAGAACCAGAGGTAGCTATTTGAATTGATTACTACTGTGAAATATTCTACAGGGAAATAAACGGCACCATCTGTCAGTCCATTATCATCCGGTTTTTTGTCTGGTTGGCATTGTGTGAACATGTTAATGATACCAAAACATATTGATATACTTTACAGCATCACTACTGGCGGATATTTGAGGACTAATCTTGTTTTTTCATAAAAAGATTAATATTTTAAAAAGGAATTTTGATTACTAGCCTTCCAATACTCAGCCAATGATTTAGCTTTTAATGGTTAAGTAGTAAGGCCAAAGATGTACTCACGATACAGATATTATTTGAGGCAGTGTTAAAAAGATTATTTTTCTGATGCACCAACATGAACCTTCCTAAACTGTCAAAGCTGGAATAAGGTCCACAAAATGTCCTATTTTTAACATGAAAAACGGTCTCTTGCTGTTGAGGAAATGTTGACTTTCTATGTGAAGCAAAAGAGTAAGAAAGCCATGTTGAACAAACTGTCTGGGAAGAGGTCAGGATGAATAATTAGAGTGCCTGTTCTCACTGCTTTTCCTAAGAAGAATGTTGTAAAATCAATCTATCTTATTACAAGTGAAAATCCTCTGTCAAAGGTGAACAAAAATAGACTTGAAAATGTAATAACTTGTGGTGTAGTTTCTTAAAGTGAAGAATCGAGCAACACACTATGAGTGTGGACGGCATATTTAAAATTAATTCATAATTGATGCGCATGACAACATTTCACCTCGGGCCAGGGACAGCACTGTACCTCACTAACCCACCGCCAGCCATAATGACTACCCTTACAAATCTTTTGTTTTGCATCCCATTGGCAATGAATGTGGCTGTGGCAGATTTACAAGGGCTACAAAGGACTTTACAGGAAGTTAGTAATCTTCACATTCGAGGAATGTATTGAAGGTCCACTAATACTAGTTACAAAGCCAGATTTGTAAGCCTACAATTCTGGATTTTCCTGCCCTAAACCCTAGCCCTAACCAATTTCATACAAGTGTAAGCTACATTTCACTTACTGTAGATCACACTGTTCAACTTAGTTTTCTCATAACATTAATTAGCACTTAGGATAGGTTTGAATAGTGTGAGTGAGCAATTAGCAGTTATTATGTACAATATATGCTAACATTTGTTGTTTTTTTGTTTGTTTTTTCAGACAACATACTTCTCAAACTTCAAACAGGTGTACACCGCTGGCTACGCTACCTCCCTCATCTCTCTTATATCAGCAATTTTTGTCTTCACTGTTTTCAGGTAAGACTGAAATCTGTCTTTTTTTTAAAGCATGACCATGGTTGAGCAGTAAGCTTAAGAATATGTTTATTATTGTAAGCATGATGACAAAGATCAATAACCTTAACAAAGTAAGGTTTAGTTTCTCTAAATGTAACCTAATGATTTTTGTTCCTGAACTTATCCAAACCATTTAAAACATATGCGTACTTAGCATTCATTTGAAACCGTTTTGGATACAGATTGGTACAGATAAAAATGCATGAACATAAGAGCCGCTGTAGACGGCATATTGAAAAGTTATTATTTTTTCCCTGTATTTAGAAGGACGCAGTTGTTTTCCCCTCAAAATATACTTGCTATACTTAAAGGTGGGGTATAAGTTTGAGAAAACGGCTCGCGATACACCTTTTGTTATATTCCATGGAATGCTCTTAACATCCCGATAGCAACGAATATCTTAAGTGCTTTGACAAAAAAATCATTCAAAAATTTTAGGTAATTTTGGAGAAACCAGCTCGAGGGCGCTAGAAATTGAAAATACACAGCCGGAAAAAATCTGCCACTTCCTTACATTGCCCCTCCTCCAACACACACAAACTTGCACATGACCAATGAGGGCACAAGATAAGTTTGTGCACAGATGGAAGGCTGACAGGCAGGTAGGCCATCCAGTTATTTTAGCCGGGCCGGCTAAAATGATTGGTCGTACTTTTTACAGTATTACGGCTTCCACAGATTACATTTTTGTATGGCTTTTTTGTCAAAGCACTTAAGATATTCATTGCTATCGGGATGTTAAGAGCATTCCATGGAATATAACAAAAAGTATATCTCGAGCAGGTTTCTCAAACTTACCTCACCTTTACAGTAACTCAAAACACAATGTCCAAAGCTACCAGGCTTACAAATAATTTCTTACATAGCCTATACCCTATTTGTATATATTGTACATGTGTTTACAAAGATATACCTCCTTTTAAGAAATGAAAAAAACGTTTTTTCTTCGTTCTCAGGAAGTTCCACTGCACCAGGAATTACATCCACATGAACCTCTTCTTCTCCTTCATCCTGAGAGCGAGCGCTGTCTTCATTAAAGATGGCGTTCTTTTTTCAGATGTAAACCTGGACCACTGCTCCATGTCCACTGTGAGTGTGAAACCCCACTGTAGGTCCATTAGTGTGTCTATATTTACCCATGAAGGACTCATCCTTTACAAATGTGAAACCATGGCTTCAATTCGATATAGAAAGAAAACGGCATCACGCAACAAGTAGTTTTGTCCTGTATTCTAAAATCCAGCTTGGAAGGAAACACATAAAGCAGTAAAATGCTCTCAAGTCTCAAAAGTGAAGAGTGAAGATGAGGAGAGCGACTTTTTTGGTTAGGTAACACTTTCGGGAATCCAGGGATTGTGGTACTTTTAGATCAGTTAAAAAAATGACAAGGAAATAAAGTACTAAATATATAAAGAATTATAATTTAAATGAAAGGAAGGAAATCAGAGAGGAAAGAAGTTGAGGACAAAAGTAAAATGGGAAGAAAGGATAAAAAAAGAAATCAATATTTTATCTCAGGTGGGATGTACAGAATTAGGATTGATAGAATGAATCACAAAAACTTGAAACTAAATTCTTTCATGTGAATACAGTCTGTTGGCTTTGTGAGGAGGAAAGATAACCTGCATGTTTTACTGGCACAAATTTCACAAACTCATAAGAGCTTATTATCGTAGAGGGCGAAAACGAATAGGCTTGACATGCTGGGAGTGACTAAGCGGAGCCTGAGAGAGCATTAATGACAAGTGTTTCTCCTACTTTTCTACTGATGAGGACGCATGGAGAGATGATAAGTGCCCCTCTTGTTTGGCTATGAGGGACCAGCGTCAGCACATCACCATCACTGCTTTGGTCAAAAAGAGCCATCAGAGAGACAAGAAGACGAGAAAAAGCTGCTGTGCTCTATCCGAACCAAAAACAAAACTCAGAGGGAAAAGACAGGAAAATAGTGACAGGAAAATTGCTGAAAAATGGATCAGGAGATGGTGTTGTTTAGAACGAGATTTCACCAGCCAAACACTACATTTGATGTGTTCATTATCCTCATGCTTTTTCTCATGTAGTGAACTAAAAAGCATTCATCTGATCTGCTTGTTCAAGTATGTTTTTATAACAGGAATCTAAAAAAGGTAGTATCAACCGAAAGCCAACCTATAAATCTTCTTTACAACCGACAATAAGTTAGCTCCTTTATTGTCCTCTACAGGGATCATCAGTTGGCTAACTTTTTGCATGTAGCATGTAGCTTTAGCCTGAGTCCTTTAGCATTATTATTATTATTATGCATCAAATGCATATTTAACACCTTTCACAGGGTTCTCATTTAAAACGAAGCAGCTAGAGGCAATACTGAAATGTAATAAAACCTTAACCAAATTCTTTCTTTCTTTTCAATAAAAGAGGGAATTAAATATAGATGGTTTATATATATATATCATATTTGTTTTCCCAATGCAGCAGTTTTGTGTAATGTGCATGTGATTTCATGACTATACTGTCAGGTGTCATGATGACTTGAGCTACATTCACAAGATACGTGGTAAAACAGCTAGTTTACAGTTAACGTTTTCATACGTAACCAATCACATAGAAGTTGAAAGAAGCGGCGCAAGCTAGCAAGTGAGGCAATCAGAAACATTACTTAAATAGCTGTGTTTCCCACAAGGCTCTGCACCCAACCTCGCTGTGAGCAAAGAGCAAACCGCTAATCATGTGAATGTGGCCTTAGAGTAATTGACTTACTTATGTTTAAGTTTAAAACCAATATGGCTAGTCAGAGAGAAACATGCAATATTTTTGGCATGACTAGTTTGAATAAACAGTAACCAACGAGGACAAAATGTACAGATTTATTATTTACCTTATAGGTAAGACGAACTGTTTAGACACCTGCTAAGCTTACACATCCTAGACAGATCTCTCAACTCTATACTTGCTTGAACCAATATAAACTAATTCATGAACTCTCTTGCCACCTCAATTTATTTTACAGTGTTTCGTTGTGAATCACAGTCATGTCATGTGTTAAGCATAGCTACCCACTACAAACTCCTGAAAAAACTAAGCTTTAGTCTGCATTTAGAACCAGTTGATGGAAAACATAATTCTCATTTCGTTATGCAACAATTCTAATGCAGTTGTTTTTTGCCCTAACCCTAACCCTCGTCCCACAGGCGTCCTGTAAATCAGCTGTGGCCTTTTTCCAGTTCAGTATCCTTGCCAACTACTTCTGGCTTCTGGTGGAGGGCATGTACCTGCAGACACTGCTTGCTCTCACTTTTGTCTTCCAGAAGAAATACTTCTGGTGGTACATACTCATCGGCTGGGGTGGGCAATCTTTCTCTTTCACCTTTCAGTGTTTGCTTTAATTTTCTACCTTCCCTCCTCTCTCTGGTTCTTGTTAGAGCTCTGTGTTTTCTCTCTCTTAATGATAACACTGTGTCTATATCTCCAAGGTCTCCCAACAACGATCATAATGGCGTGGATCCTCACTCGAAACTTCTACGATAACAAGGGGTGAGCTTCTGCGGGAGAAAATCTGAGAACATTTATAGGAGCAGAAAGGGTTTTCTAATGACTTTTACGCACACCTGTTAAATCAAAAACACTCAGAAGGGTTGAATGCTGACAAATTAGAGTTAATCTTTAGATAGTTCAATTTAGGATTGCTTCTTATATTTCTAACACATTGTTCTAGCTTATGTTAGTGTGGTTTCGTGTTTTGTGTGAAGTGTTGAGATGAACAAAATTGCACCCATGTAACCACCTTGTTTATCTCATTACTGTTGTGTGTCCCAGGTGTTGGGATGACACAGATGTGGCCTTCATCTGGTGGATCATAAAAGCTCCAATAACTGCATCACTACTGGTGAGTGCAGCACAGTAACAATGGGAGCTATTGAGGAATTATAAGAGTCCTCAATCTTGGATAGGGCCTGTATGACTCTTTGGCAATGGCTACTGTAGAAATGTATTTTGTGTTCTCATTAGATTTAACAAAAACACATTAGTTGGTGCATTTCCCACATGCATGGAAGCAGGTAAAAATGGCAGAGTGCCGAGAAAGGCTTGTTATCTTTGTCTGTTAACAGCAAAAACAGTGGACTTCGTTTTTCCCCAATTTGAAATGGGGTTGATTTTAGGGTTATAGGTAATGACTGACAATAGACCATGAAAGATACATGTGCGACACCTCTTTGCTAATGGTTAAGGCTACGACTTCGCCAAAGTTTCCTAAAAGAACAACTCAACGCGATACAAGGTTGAAATTTGAAGTTGTTCAATTTCAACTGAACAAGAGGCAAATATTAGCCAATGATAATTTTGCGCATGTGTAGCCATGCCCTCAGTGGGGGCCGAGTGGTTTTATTCTGCCATCAACAAAATAAAATAAAGAGTGGAACTTTTTCCCCTTTTTCATTCAATTTTCCAAAGGTATGACTGCGGGCCAGCCAATAACAATTGCTACAGTTGTAGCATATACTGTGTTGGCTTTGTGTTTTTCTTTAGGTCTTTCTTTGTTTCATGTAGGTAAACTTCATCATCTTCATTAACGTGATCAGGATTCTGGTCCAGAAGCTGACATCTCCCGGTGTCGGTGGCAATGACACCAGTCACTTCAAGTGAGAAGAGATTACATTCACCTTCACTTTAAGATATGCACAAACACATTCAGGAACTTTATGTAACTTTATGTATTTTTCATGGGTATTCTTTTATTTACAACGTGCGCAGGAGGCTTGCCAAATCCACTCTGCTCCTCATCCCTCTGTTTGGGATGCACTACATGGTGTTTGCCTTCCTGCCAGAGAACACAGGAGCAGAGGCACGGATCTTCATAGAGCTCGGCCTCGGATCCTTTCAGGTACAACACACAACACTGGTACAAACTTAAGTATGAACACTAACATATAGGAGATTGAAGTTTGCTCCGGATGTGCGTTTTTAGTATTTAATACTGTTCCTATAATACTTTTCTGCTCTGAAGGGATTCGTTGTTGCCCTGCTCTACTGTTTCCTGAATGGCGAGGTAAGTCAATACTATACTTTATATGTAGGCTTATAATTAAATAATTCATATGATCTCATTGGAATTGGTTATGGAGGGCAACATCCTTAATTATTACTATTGCAAACATACCTGAAGTTTAGTTAACATTTGTTAACAAGTAAAGGACCATACAATTGGTTTTGCATGTCAACCAAGAAGTTGTTCATATTTTAAATATATATATATTATTCATAGTATATTTATGAAGTTTCGTAATAAATGTTTCAGATCTGGACATGTTTCATAGTATTGGTCTCATTCAGTAATATGTGAATTTGAAGACATTGAGACAGCGTGTCCAGGGTGTAGGCATTAAAGGCACCGAAGTGTTTCTATGGGAATGACGATGATATTAAAATCTTTGGCCGCAATAACAGAGTTGTATCCCCTGATGACTGAAGCAAATTCGAGAAAGATATAAATGGTTTGTCATTAATAAAAATGAGTTAGAAAAGAAACACATGAAGAAATAAGGAAAAGGAAACAAGTTGAAGAACAGGAAAGACATATTTAATCATTTCCAAAATTCACAAAGGTTATTATCCAACCAAAATATTTGTAAGTGTCTAGCCTTTAAAAACAAAGGATTGGCGTGGAGTTTATTCTCACTGTTGCTGCACTCATCCATTTTGAGGTGATATCATCATAAAATATGACATCAAACATGAAAAACATCATTTTAAAATCTCAATAGTGGCCATAAAACATATGAAAAAATACCATTCTTGATGAGAAGGAAAGTGCATCGATTTCACAGGTATCACATGCATTTGCCAAATGCATTTGTAAGTAAACAGTTTTCTAAACATGCTCAAAGAGGTACGTTTATATAAGGACTGTTGGCTGTCTGTTTGCATGATGTGAAGGAGTCTTAATGTGTTTGCAGAGTAGTTATGTAGTATGGTATGGTATATGTGGTAACGTTTGGCTCATAATATGTATAAAAAAGTTGGATTTATTGTTATAATTTATTATTCTTGTTTGGGATTCTCACCGCTTTTATTTTCAGATGAAGCACAAACATATTAAAGCAGCTCCAAGCAGATGCTTTTGTAAAAACTGGTGTGACTTTGGTCAGGGCCTCCACAATCACACAGGTATTTTCACTCCCTGGTTGATTAGGGTTCTAACTACAGGTTAAAAGACATGCGGTCTAATCAGGCAAAACAAGTGAAAACACCTGTGAGGACATGCAGAACAATAGTTTATTTTCTGAGAAATAACAAAAATATACTTAATTTTTCCAAATCAGGCTAAAATTCTATGGTATGTTTTTGAAAAGAATCCGAAAGTGTCTATATTTAATGGGCTGCAAATCTAGTAAAATTTATTTTTAGTCCATGAAGAAGAAAAAAGCCTGTTACAGACCAAGATGTACCTTTTTAGAGAAGAACACAATGTGATCTGGTCTCTTAAGCATTCCATCGGTTTTTATTTATGTATGTTTTTTGTAGGTGCAGGCAGAGCTTAAGAAGAGGTTTTGGAAGTGGCAGACTCAGAAGTACCTGCGCTACAGTAAACGGCGTCGTACGTTGTTCACTGAAAGCAGCACGATCACACAGATCTCCGTCCTGGACAAATCCAGCCCCAAAGATCAGCCGGCCTCAGAGACACACACCCTCACGCCCAACAACGTGTCCAGCGTCTGAGGCACAGTCGCTGCTGTTCATGTAAACTGCTCGGCATCTGGCTGACTTCCAGTGACCAAACCACAGAGCCTAAGAATGTTCAAGGTACCTCGTAACTCCATACGGGACGGATGCGTTGCAGAATCTTACATGGGCTGCCTCATATACAACCAAACTTGTTGACTTATGCCTAACTTTTTCGATTCCCATTATCCCACACTCCTTTCCCCCATAATATGAATTAATTTCAAACTAAAAGGCTTCATATGGGCAAGACACAGAGGTCAAATATTTTTATTGATTTGGTATCATAGGAAAGATTTAGCTTTGGGGTCATCCTACACATCTTACTCACAACCACGAAATTGTTACTCTGTATTTACAAAAGTAACAGATATGGCTTCAAAACGTTGTCATTGTTTAAACATAAATCAATAGAAAATCATCTTTATAAGTAACAATTTACATAATTTGTTCTGTCACAGTAGGTTTTTGATAAATTGTTTTGTTTGTGTTGTTTTGGTTCATATTTCTGTTTGTGAGGACAGCCACAAATGTGTTGCAGTTGTGAGGTTTGCTAAGTAAGTTCAAACTTAAGTGGGTCGGGTGAATTATCTACAAGGGTTACAATATGGCAGTTTTCACTTGGGTTGAAGCTGTTAAAAAGCAGAATGGTTTAATTATCAAACACTCAACACAGTCTAAAATATCTGATGTTTATCTACCAAGTTGTTCATTTCGCACATGTCACAAGCGCTGAAGGGCATGCTGTCTACAAGAAATTCTCACCAACACATTTATTGAGTTTCAGTGTCAAGATAATTATTGTTCTTATTCATTCAGTGCCATTATAGTCTCTTGAATGTTGGGCAAGTAGGGCAATTGATCTGTTTAATAGAATATGCCCGTGTTACCATGAAGTGGCATGCAACATGTTGCACAGTGCACTAGTGCACATCTGGAGCACTTGACTGTAAAAGCTATTTATTTGTATGATTAATATTTCTCCGCTTTGTGTGAATGTAAATAGACTGGAACTAAGTTTATAGCAACGGAATAGTCCATCTAACATATTTATAAATCAAATAGAATGACCTTGTTACTGTAAAAAAAAAAAGAAAAAAAAAATGGGGTTGAAATGAATAAGTTGGTGTTTATATGTTATATATTTTTCTGAATTATACATGTTTGTTATTATACTATTCTTATATGTAATATTGCAAAATGTGAATAAGATTATAATGTATATTTCCGTATTAGTCAGTGTAAGTGATGCCCAGTTGCTGATCGCTGTGCTAAAGCTAATGCTAATCCAGAACCTGAGGAATAACTTCAAGTTGATGAACTGCAGTTGTTGTGTATCTATGCCTTGAATTCATATATAGTGTTTCTAATTTGGCAAATAGTTAGCAAGTCAGCACACTCATTACTTATATTTACAGGAAATATTTCATTACTCTGCTTCTGACCGCTACAGTGCCTTGATCATAGTAACTCAGTGTTTCAGTAGGTTTGCATTTAAAATCTGTGTATCAACATCATATATTTAAGATTGTGATGCTTAACTATGTCTTTACTGTGCAGCACAACAGGTGTGCTTCTGTGGCAAAATATATGATGAGAACTGTGTTTGAATTACAAAAACAAAGCTTTCATCGAATGTTAAATTGTGCAGTGGGGAAGTGAAGGGAGATATTAACTGAGAATGTTCAATGTGATGTTTTGCATAGAAAGCTTCTCATGATGTGTCTGGACTTTGCTTTTTAGATTACATTCCTTTACAGTGTTATTTCTCCTTCTCAGTTGAGAAAGTGATGTTTCTTTTACAGGTTCCGGGTTTACTACGAGAATGCAAGTTTCTCATGTGGTGTCTTCTTTTTTGGGTTGGGGGTGAACATTACAGGACCAGGCTGTTGATCATATATCATTTTGTAACTGTTAATGTCCCATGAAAAGCCAAAAATTGTGAATGTCTCGGTCCATCTCTTAATACTTTCTATCATCCCCGCCCTGTTTGTGGAACCCAGCCTTATCCCAATGATTCCTAGAATTTAATCTTAAAAATAACATCTAATTTCTAAAAAACATGTTCGTTTTTGTCAACTGATCCAAACACATTAATACCCAATCATAATCATTACCATTTACACACATTGTAGTTTATTTGACACTTATTCCCAATACACTGTTCTGCTGCCATATATAAACTGGAAATCACCAAATGTGGATTCTTCCGCCCCTGAAAATAGTCCCAAACCCAAACGATGCACTGCTTCCTCCTGTTTGAGAGACAGTAGCTAACTCAATCGACTGGCTGCTTATGGGAACTACTGAGTCTTTTTCAGAATGTATATTTTGAATTTATTTTAAAGATTTAAAAAGGGAAGAGGAAATGAAAAGTACTGAGGCGGACTAACACATGTTGATGTTAGTAGTTTCACAGGCTTTCCTCACATAAAAAACCTATTATAACACCAGCCTTATCCTTCAAACCAAAACACTTGAGTATTTACAACACAAAACAACATTAAGCCAACAAGTTAAAAACATTTATTGTCGATACTTCCATAATGTACAAAAAAAACTCTTCTCTTGTGCACACCAAAACAACATTAAATGGTGCACTGTGCAATGAAATAGATCAAATGAAAAGAGAGCTCGTGAGCAAACGTTAGCAGGCTCGCAGCGGAGTGCTTTAGGTTACTTTTACATTCAGCCATTAGTACACAAAGTTCTGAGCCCCATTTTTATTTTTATTTCTAACAGGCTACCGTCACAAATAAGCATTTCAATAAAGATAACCACTTTTAAAAAGCTGAAAAGGAAAAACATTTGAAAACAGGTCATGCTATAAAGTAAAAATCAGAGAGTGCAGACGTTTTTTATGGCAATTCACTTTTCCTCATGTCTGCAAAGATTACAATCAAAGGAAAAGTATTCCATGGGCCCAATTTGATAATTATTCACAGTTGAAACACAATATGTATGTTCGAGCTCATTAATTGCCTCATCCATTTAAAAACAAGCAAGCAGCTCTGATTCCCTTAATGGCCTGAAAGCGTGTTCCTCTCTTTGTTATTACATCTGCCGGTCAAAAAGAGATCAAAACGATTTTACGCGCATGCAGCAGCCTTTTAGAGAGTACAGAGGCATTACAGGAGGCTTTATACAGTAGTTTAAGCAAACACCATCACCATTACCAAAAAACAATGAAATATAGGAAAACGATCACAGCGCAACGTTTTTAAATGACAGTTATTAACTTTGAACCACAGAAAACGGCATTTACAAGGAACAACGTCAGCAGCTTGTTTCTGTCTCGCACATTTAAACTGCAGTTTATTTAGTCACAAAGGTTGGCTACAGACCTTTTTTCAAACACTTCAACTAACTACTTCATAGTTCAAAAACAACAAGTTCAAATGAATATTTACTCTTTTAATAATAGCAACATCTTTGTCTGACATCAACATAGTACTGGCAATATAAGGCTCCAACTCCCATATTAACACTAAAGGAAATCATTTAGAAATATGTCAAAAGCAGTGGGTGCATGTGCCGAATTAGAGTGGGTCGTGATTGTCACGCCCTTCACTTGTTATGGTATGTCACTCTGAATACACACAGCAGACCAATACAGTTTCAGGTCACACTTCTTTTTCATGGTCTGGACTCCCAAGAAGGAATGCATTTTGGCAATTTGCAGGTCAAGAGATGAGTTGACATTCTGAGTAAAACTGAAGAAAAATTCAATTGGGAAGGGAAAGAAAGGGTGTTAAGATTTACTGCTATGATAAATGAGATGTTTACTAACAAAAATAATATCATTTGAGTAACATAGGATAATATTCTGTCAATACTAGAGCGCCTCCTAAATAATGTATGTTTCTTTTTTCACAGATATGGGTTTAGAGACGCTTAGCCATCTCCCTACATCCATGTTTCAAGTGTTGGCCATAAGCCAAGAAAGAGACAAAACAAATGTTTTACATTTAAGATAACTGTCAAATGGAAAATGGGGGTAACTGGACTCATAACCTTAAACCCAGGTTGATCCCAGAGAAACTAAATGCTTGAATCAATTTGTTCTTTTTTTCTATGTATAAAAAAGTATTATTATTTAACAACATTGTGTCACCTTTAGGACTCTGTACTTGACATGTCTTTATCTGCAAATTACCAAAACAATGTTTTTGTGTGACTTTAAAGATTATCAGTCATAAATAATGTGGAGTCAAAGATGAAACAGTAAGTAAATGTAAATCAAAGATTTCAGCTCCAGTTTGTCTTTTACAATACAATTGCAGCTACTGTAGACCAAATTATTTCTGTCTTTTCAAATATGGACTCGTATTTAGGGAACATTTTGAAGAAAGCCCCTTAAACAATACTAGGATTTCATAAAGAAAAGAGCTTCAGGTGTGTGACTGTTTAATTTTCCCTTTACCGCTAAGAAGTAAAAATGAAGGATGTGTAGGGGAACTAAACATATTTCTTAGTGTGTTCATGTAATATACTGTACAGTCACTGACGTAGTTATTAGTCTGTAGCATTACTTTATTTAAAACACCAATCGGTCATATGTTCTGCTCATCTTTAGCAAAGACAACTTTAAGTACTTCGAAGGCCTCCAGGTTTAAAATACTGATTTAGTCTTAAGCATCATAAAAGCACTTTGTTCAACCACGTTCTATTCTTTGCAGATTCGTTTTGAAATGAAAAACGACAAATCAAAATACTTGTTTTGTGCTTAAAGGCACTTTTGGAGACAAAAAGTAGAGTGGAACGTAGGGATTTTGAGGATAGTCGAGTCAGACCAAAAGAAACATCAGCAGTGACATTGAATGCAAAGCTAACACAGCCTTCGCAAACAGATACGGCCGTGCAAAAAGTCAAGTAATTGGTCTTTGGAGTTACAGTATTACCCCCGATTTAAAAGCCCCCCACAAAGAGTAACGACTATGTGCTTGTCTTCAAGCGTAAAGAGAGCAAATGCCACAAGAGTTGCAAACTGCTGAAAGACATAGAGATACTGGTACGAGGGATTTGTCTGAAGAAGCCCTCATTAATCAGAATGAAAACTGATTATTCATATGGTCATTTTTTTCAGAAACAAATCTGGAAATATTCTCCAAAAAGCAGTGAAGTGCTTTCTGATGGTCAAGTACAATGTTGAAATGTCCTGTAGGAGCCCTATTGAAGAGGCTTGGCTTTACACAGTGACAAGAGAATCTGTATAACAGCGCATAGCCTCCACAACAGCCCGAAATACGTTTCTTGAAGAAAAATAAACTTTAACACCACTGAATTATCACCAAGAAAGTAACACTAACCAAATGGACAATAAATGCATGTTCATGCAAGCAGTTGAACTCATGATGCTTTCTTCCATGAGTATCATTGACATTTTCTGTACTAACGGCTGTTTAAAACTACAGACGCACTCCAAAAGTATTCCTCTCAGAGGTCAAGTTTCCAGTGCTGAGATTTAAAAGAGAAGTTTGTGGTCGTCATCGGTAAACCTCAGCACTGTGAAGACATCTGAAGAATAGTTATCATCATTTAACCCTGGTATGTTTTTTTGTCTCTTTTTGGCAATTCACATGAATGGAAAAAAGATGTCCTTCTCATAAATACTGCTTTTCTCCAACTTGTTAGATCCAGGTGAAATTTCACCTTCGACATTCCTCAGCCTGTTTGTCTTCATCTCTTTGTTTTACATCAGTCACAGTTTACACAGGAAACAAAGGCTTGGTACAGTAGTGGGGAATAGTCTGAATGTGTTCAATAAGTGTAGGTATGACCTGGGGTCCATAATGTTTGAGCTCAATAAATAACATTGATTTGATGTTGAGAAGTTCAAATTTCTAACACTGACTTAAGCTTGAACCTTCATTCTTAAATTTCCGTCAACATATTTATAAAAAACTTCCCAGTTAAGGTATCTACTGTACATCAGGGCAGCTCAGAATATTAGCAGCAGAGGCCGGGATATCAAGAATTTGAGGGGGAAACTCTAGAAAACTCTGTGTAATACACAGGAAAACTGCATCTTTTAGACAGAATGCCATCATTTTATAAATCAGATTTTCACATAAAAAGGCTAAATGCCAAGCTTTAGCTAAAATAACTCTGATGTCATCACACTGCCATCGCTAAGGGTTATCCTTTTCAGTACTCAACGGGATAAACTTAATGTGTAAAATCAGCAGAGTTTCCCTTTACGGTGTTCACATGAATAATGGAACCATTTCAAATGGCATGGCAGCTGGCAAGTCTGCATCTAAAGAGCAATACAGTGTATAGATACAGTCTAAAAACACATTTTAAAGAAAGGGTGAACTTGAGAATTGTTTTTAAAAACGTTCTCAGACTGACTGGAATGATCACTGTGAGGGAGCTGCAGAAATAAACCACCCCCCCAACACGTGCGATACAGCAGCAAATACTGTAGCACCGGACAACAGTAATACAATATATACAGAGAGATCAACCGCCCAAAGGACATTAGATATTCACTAGAATTCGTAATCATGCCCTTTGAAGTGGACTAAGTTTTTCACTCCTGAACCCGGAGTTCGGGACTTAAAGAGATTATTTGGCACCAGACGTTCAGGTTGGGTCATAATTGGGGTCAAAGCAGGTCAGACAAGAGGCTGTTCTGGGTCGCTGGAGTTGAGCTGTGTTTCTATCATGTTGTCGTCCGGGTACGGATTGGGGTACGGGTTGAGGAACGGGTTGGTGAGACTGGTCATGGGGAGGAGGATGGGTGCATCGGGTTTGGCGGCGCTGCAGGGCGTTGCATCCCCCCCGGTGGGACTCAGGTCGCCGGGGTCTCGGCCAGCAAGCTGGACATGCGGATCTGCGAGCTGCTCTTGCTGAGGATGGACAGCTGCGTGCCCCCGTTCACCCCACTGCTCGCCAGCGAAGGATGCCGGTGCTTCAGGTCCACAGCAAAGTACCTGTTCACCGTCCAGCTGCGCCATTTCCTCTTGATCTCCGATTGCACCTTGAGGGATATACTTCACAAGGTCATTATTAATGGACCTCGCTTGAAAGAGGCCAGCTCACTGTCCCTCACAGCTCTGTCTGTGCTATATCTCATTGTTTTAGCTTCCTAGGGATTCTTTCTGACAAATACTTTTCCCTAAAATGAAAAAGATTGTATGCCCACACACCCAACATTTTTTTAAAGTTGCTAGAAAAACCTCAGCTTAGTCCGAAATACAATATGGCCATATATGACAGTCCATGTCATATAAATGAAGGATATTAGATCAAATTCGGCATTTTCTTTTAATTACCACTCCATTTCCAATATATATTTTGGTTTGAAAAGAAATCCTGTAAACTATAAGCCTTATCTATACCAAGAATTTACATATAATCCTGTAAAACTAAACAGGTATGTTGTGAATCAGTTGTGTTTTCATGTGTGAATTCAGAGAACTGGTGTAAAGGCGTCAGTGATGATGTTTACCTCTCCGTTCAGGAAGCAGTAGAGGACTGCCACGACAAAGCCCTGGGGATACAGAAGGTCCAAGAATTAGACAACAAAGAACACTTACATGTCAACTTTAAAAGGAGAAACAATAGCAGTGAGTGATAAAATACACTACTGTGAAAAAAACAGCAGGATTCATTTTCATAATGGTATTTTCACATACAATAACTCATTTTCATATAAAAGCTGAAGACTTAATTTGAAACTTGAAATCAACTTTATAGATTCCAAGCAGTCAGGTCATACTTGAGTCTTAATAAATGGACAGATGTGTTAAAATTCCCTAAGTATCCTTCAATGGCTGATACAAAGCTACAGAATTTGTAAATAGTCATTCTCAGGCCATGATGGAGGATCAGTCACCTGGAAGGATCCGAGTCCAAGCTCAAACACCAGACGCTCCCTCTTGCTCACGTTCTCGGGGGAAAAGGCAAACACAGTGTAGTGGATCCCAAACAGAGGAATCAGGAGCAGAGTGGAGCGGGCCAACCTCCTGCAAAATAACACACAGAATAATTATGAAACTGGAATACAGTGTGTCCTCATTTTCATAATAGGTCTGTCGTAATAGACCTCAACTACACTTTTAATCTTAATCATTCAGTCATAGAAGTAGAAGTATTTGTCAAATGCTGGCCCTGGTATTTTGCAGGAATGATTACAGCGGCTACAGTGGGTGTAGATGCATAAGGGACTGTACAGGCAGAACATTTCAATAAAAAGACAACATAAAACAACTTACAGGTAAATACTGGATTCATTTCCACCGATATCTGGGGACTGCAACTTCTGGACGAGGATGACGATGATACCGATGAAGAGCACAAAGTTGACCTACAGACAAGATGTAACGCAAACAAGTCAATATGTATTTACAAATAAAAATATTGTTTTAATTGTTTAACAGAATATAAAGTTTTGTTTATATTGTTTATATTTGATATAATATTTTAAATGTTTAATTCTCTTTTCCACTTTTTTAAGTATTTTAAGTATTGTATTTTAATGTCTGAACACACGTCTGCTTCTGTGACGAAATCATTTCCAAAATTGGGATCAATAAAGTATCTATATCTATCATCTATCTATCTTGTTTATGTTGTGTTTGTTATGTCACTGCATATACAGGTAATAACAACGTACCATAATTGAAGCGAGTACAGGTCCCTTGATCACCCACCAGATGGCAGCGTTGTTATTCATGTCCCAACATCTGAAGGAGCAGGAGGACACAACCTCACATTCAAAGCATTATCAGACACACTTGAACATACAGGTACTAAACACTGTTGTTCTAAACCTACCCGTTATCATCAAAGTGAAACTTCAGCACGGCCCAGATGGTCACACACACAGTGGGGGTTCCTAAATTGACAAGAAAACAAGGATACAAAAATGAGTAATGATTCATGAGATGGGATAAGAATGCCAGTTTGCGTGTTGTGGTTTGTCGCTCACCCCAACCAATGATGATGTACCAGTAGAAGTATCTCTTCTCAGGGAAAAAGGTCTCCACTAGTAAAGTGAAGAGGTACAGACCCTCGATGAAGAGCCAGAAGTAGTTAGAGAGGACACAGTAATGGAAGAATATCATCACTGCTCGACACTCAAGCTTGAAGGAGAAAAAAAGACACCATGGGAAAATGTCAGAAAGACAGAGTTAAGGCGAGACACTACAGGACACTAATCTATAACATGTATTTTTTAGGACGTGACAGAAACATCAGAAATATATATTTAGTTGGTTTTGTTGCAACACTTCTGTAGACCGTTCAGGGAAAGGAAATTGTCTTAATGTATAATATCCACTGATGAAATGTAATAGTGATATCTGTTGCTGAAAATTGTTAGCAGATACTTCTTTTTGGTCTTCTCGAGAAAAACCTTGTTATAGATAAATCATTTATAAAGATACAAATCATCCGTCAGCCTGTTAACATGTAAAACAAAGAGCATTGTAGGAACGTGTGCAGGCCTGTTGGTGTTACTCACAGTGTGTATGAAGCAATGCTCACTGTCTGCTTCGGCATACAGCACGCTGTCTTTGATGAAGACTGAAATCGCTCTCAAGATGAAAGACACAAATAGGTTCATGTGGATGAAGTTCCTCGTACAGTGCAGCTTCCTGATTAAAGCCAACAGACAGGAACACACTGATTACATTTTTAATAAAAACAATAGCTGCATGCAGTGGAACAATACGTTGAGGTTTGTTTTGTTGTCATTCAGTGATCAACATGCAGAAATAGTTCACACAGTTCTAAATAGCTTTAGAGAAAGCAGCTGTGGTCTTATCCTTACTGCCACATTTTCCACTTGGGAAGAAGCCCCCGCATTCACTACGATGACGCCAGGGGGATTGTATTTGCGTTATATCTTGATACACATGGTTTTCACATAGTTAATGTAAACATGCATTAGTTACTGTGGTCTATGTCTGGGAATAGCCCAAAAGAAATATCATAGATTTTATTGCTCCATTTGAAAATGTTTGTCTCAATATTTTACCTCTGTAAAGCGTCTTTGCGCACCTGATAAAGCGCTCGATAATTTGTATTATTATCTCTTTTTTTTTAAAGTGTTCACGTGACATTACATTGCCAGTAAAAATAACTCTGCTTTTTTTTTCTGGTTTCACACGGGAATCGGACGCCTGGGTGAAAGTCCTGTGTTTGTTTGTCATCAGCACTGTAGGAGCCACAACATCAGCTGCATCAATAGTAGTAGTAGTTGTGGTAGTACATGAAGTGATAACAGCAAAAGCAGTGACAGTACTAACACTTATTGAGGTAGAAGTACATACCAAGAAATTAACAACTTTTCTTTTGAAAAACAATAATAATGTTCACCATGAAAGGGATTACCTCATCCTAAAATAATGTCAATGTGTTTTAAGATATTTGATGTAAATAAGTAAGATGCCTGAAATATCCTTCAGTTATTTTCTCCCTCTATGTTTTGATAAACCTTGTTTTTCCCCAACACGCCCCATCAAGCTGCAGTACCACCCCTGACCACTAGACGGCTCACCTGAACCTGCACAAGATGACCATGGCCATGACGAGGGACACCAAAGAGGTGCTGTAGCCCACAGTGTACAGAGCCTTCACTGACACAAAGTACATGTCCTAAAATGGAATCACAAGAACAACAAAAAGTTAATAAACTGATTTTTCAATAATATACAATGTCTCATTCAACCTATTACTCTGAGAGTGATACCTACCGGATGGCTACTGTTCCCTTCTTCAGACATGCAGGCATCAACGTAATGAGGGAAGGTCTCGTCCCATCCGAACTCAGTGCAGTTCCGACTCACCATGCCTGGCTCTGTGGACGCAGGACAATTCATTTAAAACACATACTGTACTAATATTTTTAGTGAAATCAGGAAGATACAGTAGTACCCTCTTAAATGATTTCCTTCATTTAGTTGGTTTTCCCCTTAAATTGAAATGTGTGTAATGTAACACAGAGAATAGATTTTCCAACCACAAGCACACACTGTACTTGTGAGGACAAAGAATGACATAACATATTCCCTACCCCCTAACGATGACATCGGCCAAAACCGTATTCTTATCTTAACACTATGTGGGGACCAATGAAACGTTCACATTTTCAAATGTGTGTGTGTGTGCACGCGCGTGTGTGTGTGTGTGTGTGTGTGTGTGTGTGTGTGTGTGTGTGTGTGTGTGTGTGTGTGTGTGTGTTTGTGTATGTTTGTGTGTGTTTGTGTATGTGTGTGTTCTTTGGTCCCCACTTTGTATTAAAGTTAGAAATACATTTTTTGATTTGCATAGTTAGGGTAATGTATAATGTCAATGTGTGTTTGTGGGCAAGATTTTTACAAAAATCTGCAATTCAATTGAAGTACATGAACTTTTACAATGTGAGCACTCCAACAAGACATTTGAAGAGGAGCCTCAACATGTCAACAGCATTAGTTGCTGATGGTAAATGGGAAGCAACTCACCATAGTCTTCTTCGCTGATGAACTGAGAGAAGAGTTCGGGACAGTCGACTTCCACCACCTCCCCGATCTTTGCAGGGTGCCAACACGTCAGGTTGTCCCACATCCACGGACAGCCTGAGGAAACAACAGGTGAACAAACACAGTTCACAACAAGAGCCATATGTTACTTAATTTGGGTGAAAAAAGGCCACATATTCTTATTTAGCTGAGGGTCTTTTACTCATATATAATTTTACAACAGCATCAAAAAAGAGCGAAAGTCTTCAACAGGAAGAAGATGGTTCAGCAGAGACTTTATGAATAATATGTATGATAATTTGTTATAACAATATTTTTTGAGGGACACAGGTCTAGATGGAACATAAACATAGATGAGATTTTGGGGAGAGTAATTGGTATTCACATTAAATGTGCATACATCCATGCAGAAGATAAAAGAAGACGGTCTGATTTCCAAATTCAGTTTGTGACTTCATTAGCCGGTTCTGCTTTGGGAAATGTTGGTTTCATATTTGTTTTTTCATTATCTTAGAGCCAAGCGGGAGCTTTGTGGCAGGGTTAACAGGAGAAGCTAGTGTTTTAGTCAAGACCACAAACCACCTTAACCAAGACCAAGACAAGACCAAGAGTTTAAGAGGTCGAGACCAATTCAAGACCAAGACCAAGGCAGGGCGAGACCGAATCAAGACCAGAACAAGCATACGCTCTAGACAAGCTATTACATTGAATTGGCACCATAAAGTAAAACACAAAAACCAAGCAGGCTCAGGTGATCCAAGTTGTGGGACTTGGTATCCCCTGGATGATGTAACTGAGTTATAGCTGTCCAGTTTTCAACCAAAAGGTCAGTACAATGACTTCCTTAAGTCCAATATTTATCATGCCATATTAAAATAAACAAAAGGAAGGAAAATGTATGGCCTTCTGAACAGCTTTTATACTTGGTTTCTGTTTCTCTGACGCCTTGGTGATGTACACGATCTGCAAATGCTATCCTAGCAGTAGAGACCTCATTTGACCCCTTGAAACTTGTCACCAAACAAAAAGAATGAAGAAATGGCACAAAGCTAGTCTGAATTTCCTTTCATCCATCACAGAATCACTCAGAGAGACGCCTGTCACTCACTGTCTCAGTGATCAACTTTCATTTTAAGCATCTTCATCAAGAGATGCTGGCAATTAAAGCCTTAGGCCTTCCCCCACTTCAGAGTGAAACCAAAGAGTTGATTTGCTTTGCCGAATGTCTCTGTTGCCACTGCTTTAGTTTGAATTGCTTTGAATCAAACAAAGAAACTCAAAGGCAAACTGTGAAGTATTTCTAATGATCTCCATTTGCTGACAAGCAGGTTAAAGTCAGAGTACCGCAATTTGTAGAATTATCTTTTTCTCATTAGTATGCTGACCCAGAAGATATTATTGTTAATAATCTCTATGTTTATTCTGTTATAATTAGCCCGAATTGGAAACTGTTACACATGGTGGTTATGATGAGGGAGAGGGATTAAAGGCTACACTCACACACTCACAATCACCTACCGTAGTCCGGGTCGTTCCCAGGATCGTCCGAGGCCATCATTTCCATGCATTTCTCCTGCTCCATCTTGATCACACAGTTTGAGTGGACCTGTTGGCTGTATTCCTGGAAAACAACATCATCAACACACACACACACACACACACACACACACACACACACACACACACACACACACACACACACACACACACACACACAAAGACATAGAAAGAAAGAGTCAAGTGGCAGAAGATTACATCAGAGCACAGAGGAAGGACCCAAAGGTAAAATAGAAGATGCTGCTCCATTAGCTTCACCATGCGGTTCACACCACAGTGTGGGAGAGGTCTCTGCTCTTGGATCTGTTTAAACACTCTGCCAATTAAACAAACCAGTTCAGAGCTGTTGGCACTCTCCCCGAGCAACTGACCCGGAGGAGGGGCATTATTCTAATTTAAACAAGGCAGGAAAGCCTTTCAGACGAGCACTTTTCACACCAGACCGTGCCAGGGGTTACTCCCATCTGTTGAAAAGTGGTAGGCAGACACACAGAAGTGACTGTTTAAACTTGTAGCCCTCCAGCGGCGTCAACACAATCGAGGCCGGAGAGTCCCACAGCTACTTCACTAAAGAAACGGAGGTCACCCCAAGAGACACCTTCTCCACAGCCCCCCTCTGACAGCTGCATAATGAGGGGCTGACGTTGGGACTGAGGAGGGGGTGGAGATGGAGGTGAGTATCTGCTAAGGAGCTTGTGTATGCTGGCGTCAGTCTGGGAGACGCGACGTCACAGCTTTATGAAGTGTAGGAGAGGATTAGTTAAGCATTCACCCGCTGACGTCAACAGCACTCGCATGGGAGCCATGCACTGACGATCTACTGGAGTAATAGAGATGCAGGTGCTTCGGGGGCATCGTGGGGAACGAGTGTCGACACACTGTCTGTATCCTCGAATCTGCTGGGTGATTTATGTTCTGCACTCTCCAACAACAGCATCAGGTCTGCAGTGGTAAAGCTACATTGAATGCTCTGGCAGTAAAGGCACAAATGGTTGGAATAGGCATTCACTGGATCTGTTACGTGATGTGGATGTTTTGTATCTTAAATCATTAGTTAGACATTGTAGATACTATTTAGTCATATTATTGAGCTCAGAAGAAAAATATATAATTTCTTAAAAGCTGCACTACTATATGAATGAAAATAAGTACTTGAATTACCATAAGTACATGGATGTATTAACATATTTAACAATACAATAGATGTGTATATATAAAAGCAATCCATGTCTCAATCAAACTAAATCTAAAATGTAGACCATGGAGAATGTGATGAGTAAATCCAGAATGGATTTGTTTTGTTTTGATATTGGTTCCCTTCTCCAGCCAAGAAAAGTCCTGACCCATACAAATGTATTCAAGACCTATTATGAAGTTTTGATGCCCAAATTAATGTATGGCTTTAAGGACCCATGAAAAGCCTGATATACCAAAGGGGGTTACTCGAATGACTTTTTGGCAGAGAGCCCTGAGGACAAATTTCACCCATGTGCACGCAAAGACAGCCTGGATAAAGACGTGTGGCTCTTGCAAACACCACAGGCTTAAAACAATGTGTCAGCAAATCTTCTAATAAATCAGACAGGATGTGGGAATTGCTGTTTACATGTTATTTCCACAATAGCCTTTAAGGTACAGTATACATTAAAGGCTAGGAAAGTAAAATGTCAAAAGATCTAGCATATACACATGGGTCTTTTCACTCAGTCCACCTGATGAGACTTCAGCTCAGGTTAAAGTTGACTTGGCTAAAAATCATCAAACTCCATTTGCCAGTAAATGATCCTGCCTCAACAGGTGCAACAAATTAACTGTGTTGAGGTCTAATCAGATACAATAAGTGGAAACACCTGTGGAGCTTCCAAGATAAAGAAACCTGTGTGTCCTAAAAACCAATGTTATTGATGTATCACATCAATAAGGTTGTGTCCTTTCTAGTTTCTAGGTAGTGTTCTTTCTATTCTTAGCTAATATTGGAAAAGTCTCAAGAGAGATGTTTACTCATGTTAAAGAAAACCAAGATTTACACAAACCTTAAAGGGGACCTATCATGCAAAATGCACTTTTTACGTCTTTTATACATGAATATGTGTCCCCGGTGTGTCAGGGAACTCACCAAGTGTCAGAAAACACAACCCTCTCTCTTTTCCTCCATAACCCCAATCTCTAAAAACGGGGCTGCAACGGATCTGATACAGACTGATACAGATTTGAAATTGTTCTCACGTCAGAAACGGGGTGCTCCGCCTATATGGGCAACTCTCCACCTATCAGGGGAATGGGGGGTTGCGTGGCATGGTAACAGCATGGTAACTAGGGCTGTAGCGATACACTAATCTCAGGATACGATACGATACATGATATTCAGCTCACAATGCGATATATATCACGATATTCAGCCAACGATACGATTCGATACGATTCGATATAATTCGATACACTTACATCATTTTCTGAAAGATTTTAAAGGGACAGTGTGATTTTGGTGACATCTTGTGAGTGTTCCATTGACTTGGATTGAATTAATTCAACTGAAAACTGAAAGCATCAATTATACAATATATGGCTCTGACTAGACAGAGAGTCAACAGCTTGCAAATGCTGGACAAAATGAATCAAAAGATGTGGTGAGAAAATTAGTTTCATTTATTGAAACAGTGCAAACTGTAGCTTACAAGCCTTTGAAATGTAAGTACATAAAGTGCAGTATCACAATGAACAACCGCCATCGCTGTCCAGCACGGTTTGTTTTGGGTCACGCCGCGGCCACAGCTTCTTGAGTTCCTCAGTTAGCATTACCTTGTCCGGGTGGTGACGTTGTAGGTCGGTTCGTAGGTTAGTGGTATTTCCAGAGTATTTCACGTTTGTGTGACACAGCTTGCAAACCGCCATAGTTTTATCTAAATTGTTGCTTTCC